ATGTTCACTCTGTGATTCAATGATTCAATCTTATGATTCAATGATTCAATCTTATGATTCAATGATTCACTCTATGATTAAATGTTCACTCTGTGATTCAATGATTCAATCTTATGATTCAATGATTCAATCTTATGATTCAATGATTCACTCTATGATTAAATGTTCACTCTGTGATTCAATGATTCAATCTTATGATTCAATGATTCAATCTTATGATTCAATGATTCACTCTATGATTAAATGTTCACTCTGTGATTCAATGATTCAATCTTATGATTCAATGATTCAATCTTATGATTCAATGATTCACTCTATGATTAAATGTTCACTCTGTGATTCAATGATTCAATCTTATGATTCAATGATTCAATCTTATGATTCAATGATTCACTCTATGATTAAATGTTCACTCTGTGATTCAATGATTCAATCTTATGATTCAATGATTCAATCTTATGATTCAATGATTCACTCTATGATTAAATGTTCACTCTGTGATTCAATGATTCAATCTTATGATTCAATGATTCAATCTTATGATTCAATGATTCACTCTATGATTAAATGTTCACTCTGTGATTCAATGATTCAATCTTATGATTCAATGATTCAATCTTATGATTCAATGATTCACTCTATGATTAAATGTTCACTCTGTGATTCAATGATTCAATCTTATGATTCAATGATTCAATCTTATGATTCAATGATTCACTCTATGATTAAATGATTCTATCTTAAGATTGAATCATTGAATTATAAGATTGAATCATTGAATCATAAGATTGAATCATTGAATCATAAGATTGAATCATTAAATCACAGAGTGAATCATTGAATCATAGAGTGAATCATTGAATCATAAGATTGAATCATTGAATCATAAGATTGAATCATTGAATCACAGAGTGAACATTGAATCATAGAGTGAATCATTGAATCAGAAAGTGAATCATTGAATCTTAAGATTGAATCATTGAATCATAGAGTGATTCATTGAATCATAAGATTGAATCATTGAATGATAGAGTGAATCATTGAATCATAAAGCCATTCGAGCTCGGCTCCGAGCCATTCGAGCTCGATTCTGAGCCCAAGTTGTGTTGAACATATCAATATAGCGGAGGATTATTAAGGATAAGGAAGATAAGAAGATAATAATAAGGATAAGGAAGATAAAGATAAGGATAAGGAAGATAAATATAATGGTAAGGAAGATAAGAAGATAAAGATAAGGAAGATAAAGATAAGGATGATAAGGAAGATAAAGATAAGGATAAGGATGATAAGGAAGATAAAGATAAGGATAAGGATGATAAGGAAGATAAAGATAAGGATAAGGAAGGTAAGAAGATAAAGATAAGAAGATAAAGATAAGGATAAGGAAAATAAAAAGATAAAGATAAGGAAGATAAAGATAAGGATAAGGAAGATAAAAAGATATAGACAAGGAAGATAAAGATAAGGATAAGGAAGATAAAAAGATAAGGATAAGGAAGATAGAGATAAAGATAAGAAGATAAAGATAAGAAGATAAGGATAAGGAAGATAAGGAAGATAAAGATAAGGATAAGGATGATAAGAAGATGAAGATAAGGGTCGATGTGGAGTCGATGTAAGGTCGATGTACGGTCGATGTAGGGTCGATGTACGGTCGATGTAGGGCTAGGAGTAAAGAAACCATGGCGAATGAACAATTGAGCCAAACGACTCGTATTACAAAAAAAAACACATTTAAATTGTTGTGTGTAATTTAAATAAAATCAAACACATTATGCTCTAAGAAGTAGACCACATTAACTTTGTAAACGTCTCGAAGAAATAAGTGTATTTTAAGATTGAATTCTTGTGTAAACTTTTGGCTGCAAAGCGCTCCTGCCTTGTCTAAATTGCTTTCCCTCTTCCAATATAAACCTCCTTATTGTTGTGTTTCCAACCCGCACGGATAACCCGCGACGCCCGCGCAATGAATATCCTAATCTACCCGTATTTATCCACACAGTAGAAAATG